AAAAAAAAAAAAAAAAAAAAAGAACTCTGCCAAAACTTTACCATGGATGGAAGTCATCACTACTGATATAAAGAAGTTTCTTGGTTTATTGATACTGATCAAAAATCTTACAGTGGAGACATTACTGATCAATGAACCGTTTGCTTGAAACACCTATATTTCTGAAAACTATGACCAGAATGAGATTCTAGCAAATCTTACATTTTTTTCATCTTAGTGATGAATCACAAGCTATATCTAGCAAAGACAGACTTGATAAAATTAGAAGATATGGGCTGGGCACAGTGGCTCACGCCTGGAATCCCAGCACTCTGGGAGGCTGAGGTACGTGGATTGCTTGAGCTCAGCAGTTTAAGACCAGCCTGAGTAAGAGTGAGACCCTGTTTCTGCTAAAAGTAGAAAAATTAGCTGGGCATTGTGGCAGTCACCTGTAATCTCATTTACTCAGGAGGCCAAGAGAGGATTGCTTGAGCCCAAGAGTTTGAGGTTGCTGTGAGCTACGATGCCATGGCACTCTGCTCAGGGCAACAGACTAGGGTTCTATCTCAAAATAAATAAATAAAATTGGAAGATATGTACAAAATTTCAAAAACTCATTGTGGCTGAAGTATATTGAAGTTTAGTTAGATTGTTTCACTTTCATATTCAGTTGTAGAATAATAGCCAGTGACATGGGATAGCCTTGCATAAAATTGCTGGTGAACACTATGTTAAAAGAATATTGTACAGTAGAAATGAATGAGTGGTGCTATGTGGCTGAACATGGGTGGAACTTGAAAACATAACGTTGATTGTAAAGGGTATGTTGTAGTTATAGTATGATACCATTTATGTACATTTCACAGCCCTCAAAACAATAGTTATTTTATTTATTTATTTATTTATTTTTTTGAGACAAGAGTCTCACTATGTCACCCTCGGTAGAGAGCTGTGGCATCACAGCTCACAGCAACCTCAAACTCTTGGGCTTAAGCGATTCTCTTGCCTCAGCCTCCCAAGTAGCTGGGACGACAGGCACCTGCCACAACACCTGGCTATTTTTTTGTTGTAGTTGTCATTGTTGTTTAGCAGGCTCGGGCTGGGCTCAAACCCACCACCCTTGGTATATGTGGCTGGCAGCATAACCAATAGTTTGGTTTTTTTTATTGTTTGTGCATGTGTAAGTTATGAAAATAATCGAAATGTGGGTGAGAAAGATAAGACAGCAACTTCAGCATGGTAGTTACCTTTGAAAGGGGGCGAGAGAATGGGATCAAAGAGGGGCATCCAGGGGACCCCAGCCTGCTGTGATACGACTTATTTCTTAAAAGAAAATCTGAGGCAGACCTGGCAATATGTTAAGCTTCCTTAATCCTGCTGGTAGAGCTGCATCATTGCTCAGTACTTTTCCATGTGCTTAAAATATGTCATTAAAAATACATGAGTATCTTTAGAATGTCATAATTTTGGTCATGTCGGATGTTCTAAGAATAGCTGTTTATACTTTTGCCGTGAGTTGGAGTTTAGCAAGATTTTCCAAGCATAATTTATACTTCTAACCAATAAGCAGGTCATCTCGAAGTTGGCAGGTTATGTCTGATATTTCCCGATGGAGTCTGTGGAGGAGAGTAATACGTATCAAGATGCTTTTTAGAAATTGCCAGATGAGCAAGGGGAGGTGGCTATAACCCCAGCAGTCTGGGAGGCTGAGGCAGGTGGATCACTTGAGCTCAGGAGTTGGAGACCAACCTGAGCAAGAGTGAGACCCCTGTCTCTACTGAAAATAGAAAAACTAGTTGGACATTATGGCAGGTGCCTGTAGTTCAGTGGTTCTCAACCTTCCTAATGTTGTGACCCTTTAATACAGTTCCTCATGTTGTGACCCCCAACCACAAAATTATTTTCGTTGCTACTTCATAACTGTAATTTTGCTACTATTATGAATCGTAATGTAACTATCCGATATGCAGAATGTATTTTCATTGGTCACGCCCTACAGGTTGAGAACCGCTGCTGTAGTCCTAGTACTCTGGGAAGCTGAAGCAGAGGATCGCTTGAGCCCATGAGTCTGAGGTTGCTGTGAGCTATGACACCACGGCACTGTATCCAGGGCCACAGAGTGAGACTCTGTCTCAAAAATAAATAAATAAATAAATAAATGGCCAGATGAAGACTTTTGTGTGTTATATAAATCTGAACATGATCACCTGTGGTTTTCCCCGTCTTGCCCAGGAAGCTCTCTCTGACCCATCTGAAGTCCATATGGCTCTGTATGATGAAGATCTCCTAAAGAATCCTTTCTACCTGGCTCTTCAGAAGTGGCGCCCGGACCTGTACAGCAAGGTGGCCCAAATCCACGGCATTGTAAGTGCCTCAACCGTCAGGTGTGAGTGATGCCAGGGACATGGGGGACTGAGGCTAAGTTTGGAGGGAATCTGTTACAGACCTGCTCAGTTTGTCGAGTCCCCAGAAGCACATGCGTAGGGGAAAGCCCAGCCAGGGGCCAATGTGAGTTCCCTCCTCCAGGAAGGCCCCTGGGACTGCAGCCCAGTGTCTTGCCTAATCACACCCTTCCACGGAGCACCTTATTCACAGTGGGGGCTCATGTGGCCGTATTCCCCTCTGTCTCTTGTTCTTTTTTGACCACGAGTGCTTTTCTCTGGTGGAAGTCGGTTCCTCCCCTCTGGGGAGGATTCCTCGTCTGTGTCTGTGACGGGGGTGCTCACTCCCGCAGATAGGAGAACACCTGAGCACATTCACCCATGGCTTTGAAAGGGGCAGTCAGGTAACAGGAATGAGAGAGCAGGCTGCAGCTGTCTTGTTGGGGGCATCTTTCAGGGGTGGGAGGGCTGCCTGTGTTAGAGGCCTTTGGGTCGGTGAGCTTGGCCAGCATCTTATTCAGAGAGCATTTTGGGACATGGGGTGCTGGGATCATCTGTGCCGTGTGTGGCCTCTGTCTTCTCCCTGTATGCCGTCCCCCTTCTTTTCACAAGTGCACGTCCAGGCCTGTTACCCTGTGGTGTGACGTTGCCCAGGGAGGGTCTGAACTGAAGAAGTGCCAGCTTAGCTCACATCGGCTTCAGTGTCTCAGCTGCCTCTCTGGAGAACTGGGCTTGGCTTTACCCAATTGGCTTCTCTGTGATGTTAGAAGAACTTTTTTTTTTTTTTTTTTTGGCAACAGGTTATGTCACCCTTGGTAGAGTGCTGTGGTGTCACAGCTCACAGCAACCTCAAACTCTTGGGCTTAAGCAATTCTCTTGCCTCAGCCTCTCAGTAGCTGGGACTACAGGTACCCGCCACAACACCAGGCTATTTTTTTGTTGCAGTTGTCATTATTGTTTAGCAGGCCCTGGCTGGGTTCGAACCTGCCAGCCTTGGTGTGTGTGGCTGGCGCTTCAGCCCTTGAGCTACAGGTGGCGTAGAGCTGAGACTCTGTCTTAAAAAAAAAGAAAAACAGAAAAATATCCCGACAATAACAAAAAAGAAAAAAACAGCAGATGAACTCAGCTGGCAGCAGCCATAGCCATTTCGGCAAGTAACCCTTGGTGTTCTCTCTAAAGAACAGCTGGGGCGTCTGTGGACACATCCTGCTCTGCTGAAGCCGTAACCAATGCCTCTCTCTGTCCACCACCCGGTTTGTTTTTCTCAGGTCCTCGTACCCTGCCGAGGAAGCCTTTCCAGCAGTGTCCAGTCTTCCTGTCAGTTTGAGTCCTACATTTTGGTCCCAGTGGAAGAGCATTTCCAGACCTTAAATGGAAAGGTATTCATGTTTTGCTGGGTCACCTGGGGTCACTCACTGGGCATTTGGGGGTCGGGTGGGGGGAGGGCAGAGAATCCTGACTCTCAGGTCTCACATCTGCGTGGAATGACTTCCTGAGACAGTGTGACCTACTCAGCCCTGTGGACGGGGTGGGAGGGCCCCCTGCCCTTCTGGTGGAGGGAAAGGGAGAAGGTAACTGGGGGCAGGACCCGCCGGCTGCCTTAGAGGGGGGTTGGGGCTGGACCCCCAGGGTGGGGTCTCTGCCCGCGGTGGGTGAGTGGCTGGGACACCCCTCCTCCCTGTCTGTGGGAGCCACTTCACCCTCATGTCTTTGAAAGCACGTTGGTTTCTTAACTCCAGATTGGACTTCAGGGGTGTATATTTTAACTTTTGAAAACTATTTTTTTTTTTAAATGTGTAGTTTCAAACCTACAGAAAGTTGAAGTAACGTACCAAGAACTCTGATGCACCCTCGCCCGAGACTGGTCAACTGTTCACGTTTTCCCCGCCTGTGTTCATTCACCTTCTCTCTGCTCACATTATCATTGCTTTTTCTAAACCTTTCAAGAATGAATTGTTGACCCTGTGCCCTTTAACCCCACAAAAGGGGACTGTGTATTTCCTGAGAATAGGCATTCCTTACGTAACTATGATGCAGTGCACACAGGCCCCAAGTTTAGCACTGATAGAATGTTCTCCGGCATACCGTCCGCACACAAGCTGTGCTGATTATACTAATAACATCGTTTTATAACCAAAAAAAAACGTGGTTTCCTTTTTAGATTTCGGGTCACATCACACAATGCACTTGATCCTTAGTCTTTCTGGTTTCCTTAATTTGGAACAAACCCTGGCTCTTTCTGTCTCTCGTATAACACTGACATTTTTGTTTTCTTGTACAAACTCTCCCTCCATGTGGGTTTATCTGATGTGTCCCCGTGATTAGATGACAGCTGGGCCTTGTTGGCGGGGGTGCCGGGAGAGGGGTGTTTTATCTCTCTTTGTGTGTCCTGTCAGGAGGGACATGTTGTTATTTCGTCTCTTTCCTTGTCAACTTAGGGTAGGTGGCTCTTTTTTTTAAAGTGGAAGCGGGTAGGTTCTGAGAGGGGGATTTTTTTTATTCTCAGTCAGGACTGGCTTGCCGACGACGCAGCCACAGGGCAGCCAGGCCACACCGCCCTTCTTGCTGGTCTCCGGGCTTCAGCCCGAGGGTGCTGTGGCTGGCAGAGGGGGGACAGTCCGTCTGTTCTGGGCCAGCAGCCCCGAGGCCCAGGAGACACACTGCTGTTTTCTTGCCAGAGTTCTCACCAGTTTACTTGTTCTCTTTCGGATACCCACATCTACGAAGAGGACAAAGGAATCGGGCTTATCTTGGCTGGTCTTCCCCGTGCCCCTGACCAGGGCCAGAGTGAGCCGTGCAGACACAGCCGCAGGCGTTCTTCACCCGTCTGTGTGGCGCTGCGGGATTGCTGTGATCTTAGTCACATAGGACAGCCTTCTTTCTTTTTCTTTTCCCAAAGGATGTAGAATTTCTTCTGTTCGAGAAGTAACTTAACATTTTTTCTGTTGCAACTTTTATTTTATTTTATTTTTCTAAAGACAGAGCCTCGCTTTGTTGCCCTTGGTAGAGTGCTGTGGTGTCACAGCTCACAGCAGCCTCCAACTCCTGGGCTTAGGCAATTCTCTTGCCTCAGCCTCCTGAGTAGCTGGGACCACAGGCGCCCACCACAACACCCAGCTATTTGGTCGGGTCTGAGATTAAACCCACTACCCTTAGTATATGGCTCATGGAGCCACAGGTGCCACTGTATTTTATTTTATTTTTTAAAAGTTCAGATTAACACGAGGGTGTAAGCAATTAGGTCACAATGTTTGCATTTGTTGGTAAAGTCCCTGTTGTAGTTGTGTCCCGCACCCAGGAGGTGTGCCATATACATCCCCTTACATTAAACCCATTAAGTGGGAACACACCAATGCCTGTTCCTCCTTCCCTCTCGCCCAACTTGAATTGAGTTTTTCCCTTGTGTGGGTGTGTACTAGATCATCTGCTGCTCTCATATTAGTACTGAGTACATTGGCCACTTGCTTTTCCATTCCTGTGATACTTTACTAAGAAGAATGTGTTTCAGCTGCATCCAGGTTAATACAAAAGATGTAAAGTCTCCATCTTTTCCTTAGGGCTGAATAGCACTCTGTGGGCACCTTTTACTTTCATTTGTTTTAGAGACAGTGTCTTATCCTGCTGTTGCAGCATTTAAAAGAGACCTGTGTACTTTGTAGCCACAGCTACAAGGGGAGCAAAGAGGAAGGAAAACATTTTAGTATCAGAAAGAATAAAACAGTTGGGCGTGCAGCACCTGGATCTGTAGCTACTCAGGAGGCAGGAGGCTCAGGAGGCCGGGGCTGCGGTGAGCTGTGATCGTGCCTGTGGATGGCCACCACGCTCCAGCTTGGGCAACATAGAAAGACGCTCCTCACTAAAAATATGCATTTTTTTTTTTTTTTTTTGGAGACAGAGTCTCAAGCTATTGCCCTGAGTAGAGTGCTGTGGTGTCACAGCTCACAGCAACCTCAAACTCTTGGGCTTAGGCGATTTTCTTGCCTCAGCTGCCCAAGCAGTTGGGACTACAGGCACCTACCATAATGCCCGGCTATTTTTTGGTTGTAGTTGTCACTGTTGTTGGGCAGGCCCGGGCTGGATTCGAACCCACCAGCTCCAGGGTATGTGGCTGGCGCCCTAGCCACTGAGCTATAGGTGCAGAGCCTAAAAATATGTATTTTTAAAAAGAGCAAAACAAGAGTATTTGTGTCCCAGGAAACCCAAGTTGGGGTGAAGGTGTGCAGGGTGTGGTTAAGTGTCGTACTAGGGGGTGGGGTGAAGGGGAACAGCGGTCTCCACTGGGGGCTCGTACTTGGGGGTGGGGTGAAGGGGAGCAGCGGTCTCCAC